ATATAAGTATTTGATCTACTTTGTTGAACTCCATGAGCCTATCGTTATAGATGGCTATATAAGTGACTTTGCATCCTGCAAACCCTGCCGCCTTTGCTAGCTCCTCAAGCTCTTTCTGAGTCCTCTCTCTCCCTCCGAAGTTGATCATCATCCCCACGTCCATGGGGAAAACACTCTGCGAGGTCAGATTTGGCTCGGGAAGCATTGGAAGCACGTATTCCACCAGTATCAACTTCCCTTTCTCTGGCAGAGCCTTCCAACAGCTCTGTAATATTTTGGTGCAGTCCTCGTCAGACCAGTCGTGGAGAATCCACTGCAATATAATTTCCACATGGCATCAGAATTGATTACGTATCACGGTAAGTCGATGTAGCAGTTCAATCTGACCTTAAGAATAATGGCGTCGCCTAGTGGAACACCAGCAAACATGTCTCCACTTACATGCTCCACTCCTGCAGACCAACCCACCCAGTGAGTAAAGGTCTTTACGTTTGATACCAAAAGAAGGTAATCGATGATGGACCTGGATAGGGTGGCGCCTCGGAGATGACGTGAGGAAGGTCGAAGTTGATGCCCTTGACGTGGGGGTGCACGGAGGTGATCATGTGAAGGACGGCGCCTGTGCCGCCGCCGACGTCGACGAGCACATTGATGTCGTCGAAGCCGCGGTAGATCTCGAGCAGCTTCTTGTTGAGGATGGTGGAGTGGCTCCTCATGCACTCGTTGAACGCCCTGTTAAACCGTGGGTCGATGCCGAGGTAATCGAACGCCGCCATCCCGTGGGCCTTGTGGAAGGCGATGCTGCCATCCAACACCGCATCCTTCATGTGGTACCTGCCGTTGTTGTTGCCATGATCTCATTTAGTTAGATCTCGACTCGACACGAGAACCTTATATATACATAGCGTCTGTAAATTACCACGCGTCCATGAGGACCTTATCCACGGCATACACACACATGGGAGCCATGGATACACCGTCCTCATTCTTCGTCAAGTGCTTGCAGACCGGCGCTGCGCCGTACTTCCTCAGAAGCCGGCCATCAGGGCTGGTCTCGACGCTGCAGCGCACGATGTCGTGGGCGGCGAGCAGGCGGAGGATCCGGTCCGTCATATCGGCGGCCTGCGGGTTGTCGGTGGGCAGCTGGGCGGCGATGTCGGCGGGGCTCAGCTTGGCGCCGGGACCGGCCCGCACTATGATCTCGAGGAGATCGAGCTCGATGGCCGCCTTGAGAGTTATGGGGAGACAGGACGCCATCACCAGCTTCATGGCGTACATGCGTGCTTCCTCGTCCTCCTCGGGGGTCAGCTGCAGCACGTCCTTGATGGATCCCATTCTCCCCAAGGGTTGCAGAGGAAGCGTTGGCGAGGCGGTGACAATGGCGGAGCAGGAGAGGAAGGAGGGTTCGAGCTTTGGAGTGGGGAGAGAAGAGGGTTTGGAAGGGAATTTATATGCGTCGGAGACCTCACCTACCATGACGCATTGAAATCAAACTGTTACTAGTCGAGGAAGTCTTTTACCGATTCTGCAAGTTTCTTGATGGCAAGGCTATATAGTAAGATGATAAACAAATAATTCCAGTGATAGGTTACTAATGTTCTTTGACCAAAACTACAAAATGATAGCGTGACGGAATCAACATTTTGGATGGGAAACGTAACTAACAACGAGGTAATGTTCTACAAAACATTGAAGTATAGGACACGGAATTGATGGAGTAATTGTCTCTTTGACAATCGCATTCTGAGTCCATAAACAGTAGTGTCATTTTGTAAGGGTAACGTACAGCCCTCTCCATCTAAAATACAAATCGAAATTGGACAGCGCTAGATTTTCGTCGAGAGTGCCGATCTACGTATGAGCGCGTTAGTCTTTTACTTGACGTAGGCCATGTCGTCGGACTCTCGAGTTGGACGTGAACATGACCAGTGTATCTAAAAAAATAGCTTCATTGTGACGGGAAAAGTCTCGTTGTTACTGGCGGCGGCAGCCTGCGGTCGACCACCGCTGTGATATGATGTGTTTGACCTTCGCCAAGTCTAGAACGGAAATGTTTGACTGGTATGACATTCGGTTGTATCCTCGTGTTCAGCATGGATAAAGAAAAAAGAGAGAATTAAATGAGGAAGGAGACTTGTGACTGTGCCAGCTTTAACGTTGGCTACGTAGATTGAATAATACAAAATTCCATTCTAATTTATTGACCAATTAATTTCGTTCGGTTGAATTTGAATTGACTGATCAATTTTATATTTTGTTTGCTTCAACTAATATTTTACATAATTTCTTAACTCGTAGTCTTCACTCTTGCTAATATCTTAACGATAAAAATAAATTATCGTCATTCTTATTCATGTCATCGAGAGTAGATTTATATTCGAGACAATCGCAAAATAGTTTTTCTTGTTTCTTTTATGAGGTTCTCTCATCTCGTGGATTCGTCCGATCTTTTTCTCCTGTTAAGGTTCGGCTCGCCCAAGGCAACAAACAGCTCGTAGGATTCGACGATTGGATCGGCGACAAAAGATTTTATTGGACGGCGCAAGATAAACAAAGCTGAAACCATCACCGTGGGACGACAGCACTGCTTTGTAGTTGTTCTTGGACGAACGGCTCGATCACAAATGGATCGCCACCAAGCGACTGCGTCCGTTTGTTGGGGGCTCGGCAGGACCTCCTGATCTCTCCCTGCGTTCCGGTGAGCACCTCGACGGCGCCCAACTTGACCATGCTACTGCCGAACCGGGTGGAGAAGTCCATCCGCCCGCCGGCAAGAAGCGCGACGGTGGCGCCGGTTGCAGCGTCCAAGGCTATCCTCTGATCGATCTGAAGCACGCCCCGCTTCGCAACTATCTGCTTGTAGAAGCTGTCGTCCACTGTGTTGGCGCTGGAAGCGTTCTGGTCCAGGTTGACAGGGCTGTCGACTACTAGATTCTGAGGGCACCGGCGCCTCAGAGTGGCCACAAGAGCAGGGTCCATGGTCGGATCGGGCTTGCCGGATCCGTTGAAGTTGTACAGGCGACTCAAGATGAATGAGCAGTGGGTGACTCCAACCGTGTGACCTCCTGCATGACATCATTATAATTAATCCCCCGATTAATTTGGCTAAAGCAAAAATCCTACATTTAGCTTGGAGATAAACTCTTACCTAAGAGTAAAACCGTGTCCTCTGCAGTAAGTCCTTTGGCGTTGAACAGCCCAATGGCGTCGGAGACTGATATGGAAGGCCCCGGGAGATTTACATCTGAAGCACGGGAGATGGTGCCATCCCTCCTCCCTGTTTGGACCTCGTACCGCCGTCCACCACCCTTAGTTCGTCCAAGAAAATGAACTTTTAGTACGATGGCTATCTTCAACACCAGCAGATCGAGTATACTTTCTTTGTCACTTACCAAGACCACAGCGTCTCTTGTAGCCGCAATAATGATATCAGCACAAGAAACCACCCCAGAACATGCTTTTTCCAGAGCTGCCTTGATCTCATCGATCAGCTCGTAGCCTCTCACACTTTGGTTAGCGCCTGCTTGCTTCTCGCTGTTGGGCACATCCAGTAGTATCGAAGCATCGCAGCCCTTAAGAGGAAGATATATACAGGTGAAGAAGGTGGAAATGCTCCAAACGCATGCAATGCTTGCGTCCAGATCGTTTCACGATCCGGTTTAAGCTAACACGAGCTTACTCTGACAAAGCAGTCGTGGAACTGCATGCGGAGGAGAGCAGGGAGAATGGTGGGGTCCTTGGCGAAGCGCGCTGCAACGATGCCTCTAATGGCGGTCTCCACGTCGGTGCCTTTGCACTTGCCGGTGTAGAACCCGAACTGAAGCGCGCCGTGGCTGACGGCGACGTTGAAAAGGAAAAGAGAGAGGGCGAGAAGGGTGGTGCCGAGCATGGCGGCCATCTTCTCCGAGAGCCAGGCTATGGAAGGAGGGTGTGAAGTGTGGAGGACAGTGGGATGTGCCTTAAATAAAGGCCTAAGGCGCGCACTCTTGTGAGCAAATGGATCAAGAATAATGTAGTTTATGACCGTAGGGTTCCCTCCGACTTTCCTTCCACCGAGAAGTAAGGATAAGGTCGAAGAGAAAGCCACCGCGGTGGTGTCTTTGGAATTCGTGCTCCCCTTCTAGTATTTTACCTTTTCCGAGGAAAAGACATTAAAAGAAAGTGGCCGATACCGCGGTTTAGACGACTTGTTAGGGGATCGATATGAGCAGAAATAATCTAATGTCGATTTCACATGTTGTCGGGGAGCAAAAGACTGTGTGGTCTCGCTAGTTTATTGTGCATTAATATGCGGGCGAGGACTGGCTTAGTGGAACATCAATACTGTGGGCTGTGGGTGGCTCCTTGGTGGCCTTCTTCACCATGACTGCAGAGCTTGTGGATATATAGATTTGTGGCCAGCAGTCTTCGTTCGTTAAGAGAGTTTTGATCAGAAGAAGACGGTGCATGAGTTGAGCCCCTCCGTTAAAATACTTGTGGATGAGGAATTTTGAGGGCATCGCCACCTACCTCCATATAATGGTTGTGCAATATAAATCATGAAGGAACTACACATTTCTAATGTTGAAGCTAAAGAGTGCGGTGAACATAATCTCCTAAGGTCTCTCGGGTTCTACTCCAAAAGCTTAAATCCTTCTCTGTTCCTCCTGGTCCTCCATCTGATAAATCTCCCGTGATAATAACCTCAATAATAGTCGAGATCTCCTCAACTACATGATGAGAGGACCCATGTATAAATACGAAGTATTGTGTATTGTTTCAATCAATATAATCTTCTTCTTTATATTTTATTTTTATCATGGTATCAGAACTTTCATCGTGAAGGTCACTTCTAAATATCTCGAAGTCGCTCTCCCCCTCTGTCGTTGCTCCCGTCGTGACCACACCTGGCGTCACCATCAGGTGCGACGTTTTTCCTTGGCGAAAGGCGGCAACAACAACAACATCTTCCTTCGTCGAGCTCTTATCGTTGCAACGTGTTCCACGGACATCCTCCAGGATCGTTGCGTCGGCCTTCTTCGAAGCTAAACAAGGGCCACCACGCCGCGCCCTCTTCCCCTCCCTAGGCCGATGACATTCTTTACTGTCGCCCTTCCTTTGCCTCTTCCTATGAAAGCAGAGCCGATGCAGCCTCGCAATTGCTCCCAGGCCAGCGACCTCTCCTCCTCGTTCCCACATCTCGCTCGAGCAAGAAGTGCCGCTGCCACTGTCCTTGCCGCAGCAGCCCTCTTTACTGCAGCAGCCCTCTCTGTTGCGGCCGCAACATCCCTCGCAGTCGTAGCAGCTGCAAAAGCCCTCTCTGCTACAGGGACAGCAGCCCTCTTTGCCACAACAACTGCAGCAGCCCTCTCTGCAGCAACAGCAGTGATCTACTCTTCTCCTAAGCTGCTATCCCCTGGTCCACCTTCTTCGTCTCGACAAGCAGCATTCGGAACCATTTCTAAGTATGCAACTGTAGAAAATTGCTACACAAAGACTACAGAAAACTACTGCACAAAGACTGTAGCACTACTGCACAGAGATTTGCAGCTTTACACAATATTGATCATTGTCAATACTCATAATCTATCTCTGATACTTCCATTACTGTTCTTGCAGGGCACTATAGTACTTTCCCATATATAGGTCTTATCTCCATAAATGCAGCAACCCTCATCCCCTTCAAATTATCCAAATGTGGCAACTATGCATCCTGACGTGCTTAATTCTCGAATCTATTATTTGACTATGATCTTCTAGGTTATGTTGATGGCTCTCTTCGTTGTCTATCGGCGATGCTCAACATCCTAGGCACACCCAGTCCAGTATTAAATCCGGACCACAAATTATGGTTATGCCAGGATCGTCTCATCCTTCAAGCTATTCAAGCCTCGGTCGTTGGATCCCTCGCCCTGCTCATTTCTTCATGTGACACTACTGCCGAAGCTTGGTGCAAGTTGCAAACCACCCTAGCTAATCGTTCTTGCACTCACATGCTTAGTCTCCTGTCCAGTCTCATGACGATAGAGGGATTATTATCTATATAACATAAGGATTATCATCGATAACTTAGCCTTGATAGGTTATTTTTTTAATGATGAAGAAGTTACTGTCCATATCCTCAACGGCCTAGGAGACAAGTACAAAGAATTAGCTACAGCAATACAGGCACGTGATTCATCAGTGTCATTTGAAGAACTCTATGACAAGTTGACTATATGAGATATATCTCAAGCATGAGGACAAGTTGCCAGGACCATCAATCACAGCTCAAGTCAGTTAAAAATCTAAGAATAAAAACAAACGGTATAATAAATCTATCAACAAAGGCTTGACCACTTGTGGGCTTCAAACAACAAGTTGGCCACTTTGCAACTAGATGATGAGATACCATAAATCTTTAAGAAAATCCTCCTTTGTTAAAGAAAATTCTCCATTCTAAACATGAGTATTGTGTATTGTTTCAATCAATACAATCTTCTTTCTTTCTATTTCATTTATATCACTATCATCACCACTACTGCATCATTTCCTGTGCAAATCTTGGCAAGAATGGGATCCGTCAGCGACGTAGATGAGGAGGCGAGAATGCACGCCCTGCAGCTGGCGATGGGCAGCATCCTCCCCATGACTCCAAAGGCGGCCCTCGAGCTCCTCGACATCATTTTCAAGGCCGGTCCTGGCGCCAAGCTGAGCCCCTCAGATATTGTGGCCCAGCTGCCGACTGAGAACCCGCAGGCGGTCGACATGGTAGATCGAATTCTCCGCTTGCTCGCGTCCCACCGTGTCGTCAGCTGCACCGTCGAGACCCACTCTGATGGTCGGCCTTTGAGGAAGTACGGCGCAACCCCCGTCTGCAAGCACTTGATCAAGCATGACGATGGTGGTTCCATGGCCGCTCAGTGTGTGTATGGCCACGATAAGTTCCTCATGGAAATGTGGTAATTTAGAGACTATATATATCTCATAAATGAGCGTAACAACGCCATGTACCACTTGAAGGATGCGGTGTTGGAGGGTGGCATCCCCTTCAACAAGGACTACGGGATGCCGGCGTTCCAATACCACGGCACCGATCCCCGGTTCAACAGTCTGTTCCACGAGTTCATGAAGAACCACGCCGCCATCATCATGAAGAAGCTGCTCGCGGTGTACCGCGCCTTCGATGGCATCGAGGTGCTCGTCGACGTCGGTGGTGGCGTCGGCATCAGTCTCCACATGATCACCTCCATGCACCCCCACATCAAGGCCGTCAGCTACGACCTCCCCCATGTCATCTCGGAGGCACCACCCTTCCCAGGTCCCCCACAGTTCAATTTTCTTTTGTTTCTCCATGATAGGTATATATATGCCTTGGAATATAAAGGAATGGTTCAAGTTGCATGCAGGAGTGGAGATATGTTTGAAAGCGTTCCAAGTGGCGACGCCATTGTTTTGAAGGTTAGTTCTTCTGCCATTGTTTAAGCAAGATTACTCTCTGTAATCCGCAGAGATTATTACTCTCCGTGCTTCTTTGGCAACTGCAGTGGATTCTTCATGACTGGAATGACGAGCAGTGTGCAAGAATATCGAGGAATTGCTGGAAAGCACTGCCCGAAGGAGGGAAGCTGATAGTGGTGGAATACATCCTTCCGTCAATTCCTGAGTCAAGGTTGAACTCCCAAGGTGTTTTTGGCTGTGCTGGGAGGTAAAGAGAGGACCCAACAAGAGTTTTGAGACCCTGGCAAAGGAAACAGGGTTTGGAGGACTCAAAGCCAGGTACGTAACTCTTTATACTTGGGCCTTGGAATTCACTAAGTTATGATCCATGTTGATCGAGTGATGTCGAAGAGATATTTTCTTATTTGTATTGCTGTAGGCTCGCTAAACATGACCCTAAGATAAAAATAGCCAGTGCTGTGAGACTTACTGCTATCAAACAACAAAGAATAAATGTGCAATCGTTTTTGTCATTACTCGATGCTTGCATTTTGCTGCTGTATATTTAAATGATTACATGAATACTAGGCAAATGGATGCGCGAAAATTAATGCAGGATGTACACCGACCACGTGTCGAAATAGGTGTCTTTGAGATGATCTGATTTTGATGATAAATCAGACATCAAATGGACGCAGAAATGCTCCTATATTGTAGTACGACTCAAGACGCGACCATTGCGTCGGCGGGGGGAGTTGGCGGAAGTATACCGTCCTCGACCTCAACAACACCCAATCCACCAAATTTGGGTTTGGTTTCGGGTCCAGCTGATATAAAGCCCACCCAACTGCAACTCTTATTCGCGGAACCAAGAGTGCGAATTTAATCAAATAGCTGCTATGCACCGGAGGGAAGACGAGAACTGATAGTACAGCCGCCATGCCAGCGCCGTAATGACAGCGACTTTCTCGGCCCGCCGGAGACCGACCTGCTTTTACCTCCTTCCCCGTCTCTGCTCGTCCTCCAAAGCCACCACCTCCGCCCACCCAGTCACCGTCGTGGACGGCGGCGACATCATCGACCGCGTCGCCTCCATCCTCTCCTTCGCCGCCCACCCCGCCCACCTCGCCCAGATCCACGCCCTTCTCATCTCTTCCGGCCTCCATCGCTCCCCTTTCCTCGCCACAAAATTCCTGCAATCGGCCCCCGGATCACACCGACTCACTCACGCCCGCCAGTTCTTCGATGAAATTCCCTACCCAGAGGACCCCCGCCTCTTCAATGCCGTCATCCGCCTCCACTCCCACCACAACGCCTTCGATGACGCCCTCCGTCTCTACAGCCAGATGCTCCGCTCCAACATCCTCCCTGACGGCTTCACCCTCCCGCCCGTCCTCAAGGCCTGTGGTGGCCTACCGTCTCACGCCGCCGGCCGTGCCGTCCACGCCCAGGTGCTCTGTCTCGGGTTCCAAGCCGACGTGTTCGTCCAAAATGGGATCATCGCCATGTACGCCAAGTGCGGCGACATTGCCGGTGCCCGTACCGTCTTCGACATGCTAAGCGTTCGGAATGTGGTCTCTTGGACTTCGATTCTATCAGGTTGTACTCAGAATGGATTCCCTCTTGAAGCTCTTGAGTTATTCAGGAGAATGCGGTTGGAATCCGATGCTCGCCCTGATTTCATAATCCTCGTTAGTGTTCTCAAGTCCTACATGGATGAGCAGGACTTGGAGCACGGAAGGTCTGTCCATGGTTTGGTCATCAAAGGTGGGTTTGAGGATGAGCCGGATCTGATCATTGTGCTCACGGCAATGTATGCAAAATGCGGTCAAGTTGTTGTTGCAAGGCAGTTGTTCGACAGGGTCACCTCCATGGATGTGATTCTGTGGAATGCAATGATTTCTGGGTATGCGAAGAATGGCCATGCCAGTGAAGCTGTAGAGCTCTTCCATGAGATGATCTCGAGGGTGATCAGACCTGATTCAATCACGATAAGGTCCGCAATTTTGGCTTGTGCGCAGGTCGGATCCTTGGAAATTGCTAGGCGGATGGAGGACTACACTAACAGCAGCGAGTTCAAGGATGACATTTTTGTGAACACAGCTCTAATCGACATGTATGCCAAATGTGGAAACATAGCGCGTGCCCATGCGATATTTGAGCGCCTCATCGACAAGGATGTAGTTGTTTGGAGTGCAATTATAATGGGGTATGGGTTGCATGGCCGTGCACATGAAGCTCTGAGACTTTTCGATGAGATGAAGCTAGCTGGGGTTAGGCCAAATGATGTCACCTTCGTCGGGCTCCTATCAGCCTGCAACCATGCAGGCCTTGTGAAGGAGGGTTGGAATTATTTCAACTCCATGAAAGATTACGGGATTGAGCCTCGGCATCAGCATTATGCATGCGTGGTGGATCTCCTTGCTCGTGCTGGGCACCTTGACGGGGCCTTCGAGTTTATTAGGAGCATGCCAATGAAGCCAGAGCTAACTGTTTGGGGTGCTTTACTGAATGCATGCAAGATTCATGGTCATGTGAGGTTGGGGGAGTATGCAGCTGAACGTGTTTTTGCTCTAGAGCCTCTCAACGCCGGGCATTATGTGAAGCTCTCCAACATATATGCATCTGTTGGCATGTGGCGTGATGTTGCAAGGATCAGGGTGTTGATGAAAGAGAGGCGTGTGACTAAATCAATTGGTTGCAGTGAGATTCATATCAGCGGTAAGCTTCATTGCTTCCGTGCAGGGGAGATGTCACACCCAAGATACGAGGAGATCTTTGTGGTGCTTGCTGAACTGGAGAGGAAGCTGAAGGAATGTGGCTTTGCTCCTCATCTGAGCTCTGAGCTGAGGGAAAACTCTATGTTCCATCACAGTGAGATAATTGCTATTGCTTTTGGCTTGATCAGTACTGCTCCGGGAACAACCATCAGGATTATGAAGAACCTTCGTGCATGTGTGAACTGCCATTCGGCGACAAAGCTTATATCTAAACTTATGGAGCGCGAGATAGTGGTCAGGGATATTAACAGGTTTCATCACTTCAAGGATGGTTCATGTTCCTGTGGGGATTATTGGTGAAAGGAGGCATGGCTCTGAGGTGTACTATGTGTTAGATTTGTGATCGTGTCTAACTTAGCAAGATATATTATATATATGATTAAATTTTGATTACAGTTATTGACTAATAGGAAAAAAAATTCAATTATAATATGATTCTTTAAGAATTTTTTTAATAGGAGAAACTTTTCTAATTATTATCCTAAGTCTTCTATTTTCATTTATAAAAGAATATGATTTATTAGGGAAAAAACAATCATTGAAAGATTATAAATTTTCTTTCATCTCTCGTTGTCTCTAATTTATGCTCATACCGATACTATGAAAGATAAAAAAAGAGGACAATTTAATTCTCTATGTAAATCGATATCGTTGAAGCTTTTGGATCCGACAATGGTATGTTTTTAGATCCAATAAAAACTTTCTAAATGACATCAAAAGATATACATCATATATTTAATATATTATTATTTAATTTTAAATTTTGATATTAAAGTTTTTTACATAACAATAGAATAATCATGATTTTATGCTTAAAGTTAGTATTAAAGTTATGTTTTGAAATCGAATATTTTAGATCGTAAAAGTATTTCAAATATATTTTATATTTAGATCTGTTTATTAGCACTTTTTATTTATGAAAAGATATTACTTAGTTTTAATTTACGATGCTTGAATGATCTATTTGTATTGTCGATCTACTTTTTATCTAATCCGTCCTATCACCTGCTTGCGAGCAATGTGAGATTTCTTGTGGTTGATTGGACCACTATCGACAATTTGCTATTGACAGGTTCACAGCATCACCAGACTCACAGCATACGTGCGCGCTTCCTCGTCCCCATCGGGGTTCGTAGCATACATTGCCTTGATGGATCCCATACTTAACACCAGTTGCAAAGTAGATGATGAAGCTGGTGGTATCAAAGGATCTCTGGGATTGGATAAGTACCGCAACGCTCACCCACCATTGAAGTGACATAGGAGACAAGTGAAGTTGCTTTAGTACATGCGAATTTGATATGGTATGGTTGACATGCAAGTAGTGCATGTGATATCGATACTTGTTGGTTGACAAACTTCCAATCGATATGAAATGCATGCACCATTCAATCCAATCTACAGGTAGGTATCGTTTGCTGGTCGACGATGGAGTGTTGAATGGCATGCTGCAACAATGGAGATCTCAGTGGGGGCTCGATGTTTAAAGCTCAAGGTGACATAGAGTGATGAACAGGTTAGTGGAATTCAAAATGAATTTAATTTTTTTTAAGAAGATGTTAGATTAGATGGTCCAATCACTTAAGATAAAATATATCAAAGGTGTAAATTAAATTTTTATTAAGATTATCTCTCCCCATGCTCATATAATGAATGCTACGACATCCTCATGCAAAGATTTTACGATGATGTTCGAGATATTCGATTCAATAATATTGTCGTTTATGATAATTTTAGATTTCAATCCTGATTGAATATTTTTTGTATTATAGATTATTCTTAAGTAAAAATCTTTTGAAATGTATAGAATCAATATGTACTGAGATTGTTTATTGCAAAATCTTATGATCGAATCTTTTCTTCATCATTTAGTTTTCATAATTTTTTTTTTGTATAATGTTGATCGCTCCAATCATGAAACATGTAAATACACAAGAGTTAACTTTCAAAGAAAAAAATCTTCATTTAGAAAGACGATTGAGGTGATGACGAAAAAGGACACTTATTGGATTATAAAAAATAAGAATATTATATAAAAAGCAAAATGTGGGATACTTTTGAGAAAAAAATTTTAAAAATATTTTTTTTAAAAAAATCACTATTATTATTATTATTATTATTATTATTATTATTATTATTATTATTATTATTATTATTATTATTATTATTATTATTA